GAAGGGAAATATTTAGAAGGGAGAAAGGAGGTAACAAAGCAGATTAGAGAGCAAAATGGAAAGGACTGGGGAACCTCAGTCTTTCTTGATCTGAAATATTGTTTTCTATTTTATTGGGAAGATTAGAAATGATTCCTAGTGGAGGGGCAGCTCTGAGGTCACTGTTTTTCAGAATTTCAGCCAGCATTGTTCCAGCGGTGATGCTATAGCTACTCCTCCTGGAAGTGAAGCTCCCGTATTTATGAGCTATGAGCTAGAAATGTGGATACCACTTTTTAAGCCTTCTTATTCAAGAAAAGAGCAAAGAATATAATTGACTTAAGATCAAGTACTCACCAAAGAGAAATGATCTCCTTGTATATTTTAAATTTCAGACCTTCCAGGAAAAATTTAAGAAGCGACATTTACTTTTGTTTTGTGATGTATCCAAAGTAAATGAAACTCAGCTCCTTTACAAAGCACAAGGTATTAGACAGCTGTTAACTGATGTGGTTTGTATATGTTAATACCTTATTTTATGGAATTTAATAAATGTTGAGAGAAAACTTTTGCTTTAAAGGAGATTATATCATGCGAGATGCTTTTGGTTGCAAGTGACAGAAAACCCACTTAAGACTGATTTCTGTATTGAAGGGAAAGCATTGCTTAATGTATCTGAAAAACATAGAGCTGGTGCTAGCCTCAGGTGGAGATCACCCCAGCAGCTTGCTGATGTTACCAGGAAGCCAGTTTGCCTCTACAGCTCTGCTATATAGTACCAGCTTCATCCTAATACTGTCTGCATTTGTAATCTCCAGACAGCTGCCAACAGTTTCTAGGACTAGGTCCTTCCTTATTCATATCCTACAGGAATGGTTGTTTTTGACCCAGAAGTCTCAACAGAAACCTTGGTTAGTTAATCACACTGCTTAAAACGTATGCCGACACCTAAATCAGTCATTATGAAAAGGGACGAAAGGGACAAGGATGGGATGTGAGGACTGGCTTAGGAAACTTCCGGTGCTCCGCTGATACAGCACTGGGCGTGGAATCAGCAGTTATGGGAAATATTGTGATATGGTCCAGTTTTAATTCCAGTCTTCTTTTCCTCAGAACTAAACCCTCTTCCTGCAGACACTTATTCAAGAGCAGTCACTGAGTTTGATGAGGGGACAAAGCCCATCATAAAAAAGGGCCGGGGTGGGAAGAGATTCCCAGTCCAAAGTCTCCTTTCTTTCTCTCCGTATAGAAATCCTGTCCAGGTATTGTGTGCACCACAGAGAGGCTGGATGGAGATTTATTTTATAAACAAAAGGAAGAGAGCCCTTTCTGAAATTTTGCTCAGAAATGAACATGTTTATTTTAGAAGCACTTTGGCTTATCAAAGTATCAAAAATCACTCTTGAATTGCTTTTTATGTTCTTGACAGACTTAAAATCTTAGCCTTATAATGAAGTGTCAAAATGAAATGGCTGAGAGAGTAATGACGGCAATTTTGCCAGTGGTTTCTGTGCTCCTTTGCATGAGTCACTGCTTCTTGGTAAAGCAGAAAGAAGAGAGAAGCATGGCTAAAAATTAATAAAGAGCTCTGGCTGCCTGGCTCAGAGTCTTGGAATGAACCACATGAACCCTGCCCACTCTCATCCTAACCCTATTATTTTCCCTCTAGGACACGTGCCCACCATGGTGAAAACATTAGGAAATAATTATATAAGTAAATACAGTTCGTGCAATTCTATTTAACAACTGGAGTTGAGGGGCCACATTTGTTTATGTAACAAATTCCTCAGAATAAACTGAATTTGCAACTTTTCATGAAATCTATAGGGATCTGGGTTGGCTCACTCCTCAGAAGTGATCAGCTATCTGTAAGTATAAAAGGGAGAAGAGCTAATTACAGTACTTCTCAAATACAAGATTGTGCAGAAGTATTTTATTGAAAAAGGCACAATGATTAGAATTACCTTTTCTTTAAAATAAAGAAACAACTGTGCTCAGAGCCTCACAAACCCCAGTATATGGCTGCTTTGCTACTATTAACATGTGCTTTCTTCTACACTGTTTATTGATTATTCTCATCTAGGCCCTGAAGCCCCTCCCAATGCCCCTTCCTCTGAACTCCTATGGCAATTATAATGTACATGACTCATCTGGCAGTTCTCATGTGCCATCTTATACTGTTAAGGAGGGCTTGTTATTCATGTTCCTATGTCTCATCCCCCCAATTACATTATAAGCAATTCAGGAATGTTATATGCCTCTGAATCTCTCCAGTGTTCAATAAAGTGACTTGAGGGAATGGACTTTTTCATCCCTTATTTTGTTTTCCAAGGTAACTCGTAGAGCCCTACTTTGACATACAGTATACCCTCAATATATTTATTGAATGAAATAATAATCATATTAATAGTAGGTGCTCAAGAGATATTTATTAGGTCGAATAACACTACTGCTTATCTATTAGCTGGACCTAAGTTGGAATTATTTTTCCAATAGTTGTGTAATTCAAGACAAGTCCATGACTTTGTGACCTAGTACTGCCCTAAGATACATGTGAGACCCAAACACACAAAAAGGTGGAAATCGCAGTTTCTATTCCCAGGGAATCCATGTTTCATTTCCACATCTTAAATACTGCAGCCTTACTCTCCTACAGCCTCCTCTTATCCAAGCATGTCTTGTAAGCAGGTCAGTCTTGCCAATAATCAGGGTGATTGTTTTACACTGGAATTTAATCTCTATCAATTAGCACAATGATACAGCCAACCAAGCATTCTCTTGCATGGATGGGAACCAAGGAAAATCAAGGTTGTTGGCTTTGGTGTACATTTCAGGGGGCAGGTCTAGTAAGTATATCCTTTTCTGATAAGATCATTAACTCTCAGAGACACTCACACAACACTAGAAATCCCCTGTCCTATTCCTCCATTTAAATTCATAGTTCAGGAGGAGAATGTCCATGATAGTGCGACTGTTCATTTTGTATGCTACCATTGCTGAAGAAGTCTGGTATTTCATACTGCTTTCTCCTGTTTGTTTTTGCACAAAACTACCATGGGACGGGATGCATTTCCTTGCTGTGTGTACCCAGGAGCTTCCCGGCTCCAAGGAAGTGTCTTGCAAGGGGCTCTTCCTCCAAATGTACTTTCAGAACTCCCCTCTCACTATTCCGAGGAGGAACTACATTTCTTTCACTCGGATTTTTATGTGGCAGCTGATGGAAGAACCTAGTGCTTATTTTGCAAATTCAGCAAAACCTTCTATGTTCGCTTGTGAGGACTCTCATGCCGCCTCAGTGGCCTGGTGACAGCTGTGAGGCCATAAGACTATGTTCATGACGAACTTTGATCATCAGCTAGTTTACAGGCAACTTTCTCTGACTCACTTGAGTATTTGGTACATGAGAAAATAAATTGGCTCCTGGTACACAAGCTAAGAATGGGCACAATTTTCTGAGGATTATGCTAAGGATTTGTGGTGTTAAATTTTTAGTACAAAGATCTATCCTAGTATACATGGTCCAAATAAAGTCATGTGTTTTCCTGAACAATTTTGTTTTGTCTGTCTTTAAAAAAGATGTGTTTTGTCTGTCTTTAAAATAAGCAACAGAAAAATTAAGGGCTTTTAAAGACAGAAACTAAATAGAAAACTACACTAAGGAGGTTTTTTGAAAAAAAAAAAGTCATATTTATTCAACATTCATATTTAACCTATAGATTTTGGTTACATGATATATATTTTTCTATACCTCAGACTCAAAACTTTCCAAAGGAAAACTTCACATTTTCCCCCAAACTTGCTCTTGTTCCTGATTTCTCTACTAGTACCATCTCTTCCAGCCACCTAGATTCAAAGCCACAGTCTTTCTCAGATCTTTCCTTTCAATGAATCCCCATTTCCACTCATTTTCCAAATCTGGTAGATTCTACTACACTTTTGCATGGAATTTTAGCATAACCATATATACACCTTAGTCTTACCCCATCACAGTCCAATATACCCAAACTCTTTTAACACTTCACGACCTTGCGAGCTGTGTAACAGCTCCCAAATCAGGTATGAAGGGGTCTTCCCAATTGGGCCAATGTACCTTTTCAGTCTTTCTTCCTACTACCACTAGTAAAGCCATAAGCCCTTAACTTACATGCCCCTGTGCTTAATGACCCTTTGATCACTGTTTCCTCAGTTGGAAGTTCGTCCAACCCATCCAAGGCCACTTTCTCCGGAAAATCTTCTAAGGTCACCCTGACCAGATCTACCCTCTCTTGAATCTCCACAGTGTGACTCTTATCTTGCATTCCTTGCACTTAAATAAGACATCATCTTTTGGGGGGCTGAGAACGTGTCTTACTCTTGTCTGAAGCTTCTGCAGTACCCAGGACACAGTAAGAACTCAGTATGTTCAAAAATGTACAGTTTCTGTATAAACAAGATACTATTCATCAAGCTGAAATGTCACGGTTCCCTCTATTTTACCCATTACTCTCAAGCTCAAGCAAATGTCACAGTAATTTCATAACAGCTCCTCTTAGAAATAAGAGTTATCCATTGACCACTGGCCCAAACTACAATGCTTCACTGCCAAGCATTTCAGTCTTTGGTTTAAAATATCTCTAGGTCAGTTTCAAAGATGGTTACAATAAATTCTGTAGTTGCAATTGGAAATATATGCAAAAAAAACTAAAAAAAGTACTATGTGTTCTTTTTAGAAGAGCTACTCTTACAATATTGATACTTAATAGATGACAAAAACAGTAAATGCATTGTTGGTTTCAGAACTGCTTCTCTAAAGTAAAAATAATGTAAAAGGCAGGTCTTTTGGGGTTTTGCTATTACTGTTGTTTTTATTTGTTATACTATGCCCCTAAAATATCTGACACTCAATTACAATGTTCAACCTTGGAGTTTTCTCATGGGGATGTCAGCATGCTTTCATCTCTAAACAATAAATCCTTCAATTCAAACTGCCTTAAAAATAATTAACATTTATTATGTATACTATATATTATTTTTCATTATTATCTATATAAATAAAAACATTTATTTATATAGCTCCATAAAACAGATGATTCAGTGATACCAAACGATACACATGGACCAAGTTCGTTCCAAAGTTTCTGCTTGAATAAGTAAACATTAAGTATCTTTCATTAAACGGTGAACATATGCCCTAAAACAGGGCATCACACTGAAGAGAAGTCCTCAGTGGCTGATTAATTTAGCTATAAAAGGTACCAAAGGAAGGTTTTTATAGAACCAAACGAATCCAATAAACAAGACCACCTAGTAAGCTGCTGCTATGTTCCAAGCTAAAGATATTCTCTAATCCCAACAAATGCCTATGATAATTTTGTAGTTAAAGAAATATTACACTATTATCTTTATCTTTAAAAAAGGTAAAATTCAAACCACTTTGAATTATCCTTATAGGAAAGCTGAGCATTTGTAACATAAACCCTCCTTTCACCTGGCAGCTAGAACTGTAATATTTTGTTCTCATGAGGTCTCCTATCAAAGACCCTTTAGACATGCGCATGTATACGTTGCACAATACCACTGGCCAACCTAACAAAATGTGGTCTCCTGGCTTTCCCTGTAGTTTGATAGTAAAGAAAAGAAAGAGTAAGCCAAAGCTTTCCCCCTCTGTGCCATCATCTTTCCATAGACTTTCTGGATAAATGTGGCCCAGCTGTCTCACTGACCTTCCCGGACATTGGTACTTCCCGCTTCCAAATGCCATGAAGCTGTCCAAGAAAACATGCTTCTCTAAATTTGCCTTTTTCCAGCGTTCCTGTGGGAAGAAAACATTTTTTTTTTTTCAAAATCAGTCTTATATAAATAAGCTCAACTTTATTTCTCCAGGCTAAAAATGACCTTGTACAGCTAATCCTTGCATATAAAATTGCAGGGTTGTTGGTAATTTTTTCCAACCTGTTATTAATATCAGCCACAATTACGTTTTTGGAACGTGAATAAATAAAAAAGTTTTAAAAAGAATTCTGTTAAGTGGTAAATTTAAATGACAATGTAAATCAACCACAGAATTGACCTTAGAGAGGAAGAATATTTACAATAAGGCCTCAGGCTCCATCATAGAACTGCCCTTGGTAATAAATTTAGTATTAAGATGCTGAGAGCGTTGCTATTGGAGAAAGCCTGGGATGCAAAATGAATACATCTGGATGCCATTTTTGACAGTTTTTACCTAAAGGCAGAGAACAGACTAAATGACCTCTTAAAATTCTGTTCAGCCCTGTAACTCCCCAATTCTAAGAAACAGCAGAACACAGTTTTAATTTGCTTTATTTTTAGTTTTTATACTCCTTGGAAACCAATAACAGGAACAATTGCCTGAAGAACGTGATATAAATCTTCTATCAGAACCAAGCATATTTACTTTTACATGCCCTGCTGGTTTCAGCTAAAAATTTATTTTAAAGTTGGTGAAGCTTATTCCAAAAACATTTCTAACTGGCTTGTAAATGTTACGTCGTCGATACTGCAAATCCAATCTGTACTTTGTAGTTTTAGTTACTAGAGAACTTTGGCTATTTAAATGACATAATCCTACTTAATTTATGAATTCATACTCCTGGCATAAAGAGAAATTAAAATCAAAGGACAATATATATTGAAAGAAAGCACTTACAGGTTTGAATGATTCAGGTTCAGGAAAATACTTTGGATTCCTATGTAGCCAAAATGGAGACAACATCAACAAGTCACCAGAAGGCACAGTGTAATTCTATGATAGAAAAGTTCGTTCTGAGTCATTTTTTCGAAATCTGCTTTAAAGAGAGTTTGGGTCATTAAAAATAATGCTACTTCTATATTGTGGAGAAGCCATATACATTTTATAATCAATGGCCAAAAAATCTAACTCTTTCCTGGATGGATAGTTTCTATTTTGCAACTTAGAGCAATGCCTGATTTTTAATTCAGACGATTAGTTACATGTACATATAAATCTGGTTACACGAGGGGAAAATATTAGATAAGTGTGAAGATTTTAGAAACTAGTTTGAGTCCACTCCAATGCAGTTTTTGATGTTCAGTATTGGGGTTTGTGGCAAGTGTCCTCAATAATGGAAACCACGGTGAGTCTCCACGTTCTGGAGCAGAAAATCTAAGTCTGAGACAGGACACTGGCCAGGGGCAGCAGGCATTCTGTCCCTGGAGACACTCGTGATGGTGTCAGGGCAAGGACAGTGAATTCTTTGTTTGTTTGCTTTTTTGCTCTAGCAGCAGCTGTTAGGGTGGAAAGAGTATTAAGACAACTGGTTCAGAAGACATAGGACGAAGCAAGTGTTGTATATTTATTTGGTTTTATGTTTGAGGAGAAGCAGTGTGATTCTACAAATAGCAGAGTCTACATGATTTTTCTCCATTCATGTTATAATAGGTTTTCATGATATATAACCAAGAACTAAAAACCATTTCATAAAATCCCCCTTACATCACCATGCTCAGAAACCATAGGATAAAGAGCACTCCCATGGTGTATGATCACTAGATAGCTACCAACTTTACAGAGGCGAAGCATTTTTATTAGTAACTCTCATCTCCAATCATCAGAAGCCACATCCATTTTAACTGCATAATTTTGAATTGTCCTCAAGACATTTGCAAAACACTAGGTTCATATATCTAGAATTAGCACCTTACAATTAAAAACATGTCTTTTTACGGTAGCAGGGAGTGGAGTATGGGAGGGAGGGGTCATCATTTTTTAACCCAGGAGAACTCCTGTTGGCTCCAATGGGAGACGAGTATTGTTTGAATTTGGTAATTTCAGTACCAGGAGAACTGGAGAGAGTCAGATCCAAACCTTGGAAGCTAGTAATGCTTTTGCTAGTGCTCTCTTACTTATGAGATCCAAATCCTGTGTATTGGTTCTACCTCTGCTGGAACTGAGGCTAGAGAGGTCATGACTGATTCTGAAATCAGCGGGGGAGAGTCCTGATATGTCTGGGGCAGGGCAGGAGGCAGCCCTGGGACAGGCCTCCAGTCAGGACAACTGCTGCCCTTCTCTTCCTTCCCCATACTCCTCTTTAGTGGTTGTTGACCTATGATTATGACTTGGAGGCTGCTGACTGCTATAGCTTACAAAGTGGGCTAGCAGAGAAAGACTTCTAATGGAGCCTCAGTAACAGCATTAACATTAGCAACAGGGAGGAGACCA